TATATATATATATATATATATATATAGAGAGAGAGAGAGAGGGGATTCTCTTTTTTTTTACATATTTAAAAAAAATCTAATCAAATTTTGAATCCTGAATTAAAATCGAATTGTAATGTGAACTGAAAAGATTTAAAATCTAATCATGTTGTAGATAAGGGAAATCCATGGCAAAAAAGGGGATGAAAAAAATTCAAATTAAATTTAAGGGGGGAAAAACAGTTTTTTAAGCGGGAATTTGAAATATTTTTTCAAACATTTTTTCTTCTCCGTATTATATAGTAATAGATTGCCTCCCCTTAAAATAGAACGACCTAATATGCACTTGTTTCCGAAATTTTCTGAGAAACAAAACCCCAACCCCTAATTAATTCGTGCACTAAACTCTCAAAAGGTGGTCAAAAGAGTCAAAGATTTTCACTTTCTCCTTCATTCAATAACATTTTCATTTAAATTCATCATTACATCCCACCACCGGCGAGAATTGCATGCATGCATGCATGGCGGAGCCGCCCATTTAGCTTCCAATCACAGCCATTTGTCGTGGTGGCACGGCCGCCATCCGCCACCATCTCCTCCGATCCGTGCAACCTCCTCGTAACAATTACTTAAACTACATACCAGNAAAAGGAAAAAGGAAAAATTACGTGTTTTCAACATGTCGAATTTTGAGCAGAATCCGCCGCAAGAAAGCAGAATCATAATCCCGACAGCTGTTGCAATCGACAAAGATAAGAACAGCCAATTTGCCGTGAAGTGGGCTATCGACAAATTGAGGTTGAAGGATAAACAAATCATCCTCGTACATGTTCGAACCCATTACAGTCTTGATTCATGTGGGTATTCTTGTCTTTTCATCTTCATTCCTTCTTTTAATTTTCACTACAAGAAAATAACGAAAATCCAATTGAAATATACTTCAATGGAATTCCAACGGCAATTCCAATAGATATTCCAATGCTATTATTTCTCTTGAAATTTTTCAATTTATTCCAAGGGAAATTTCAACAAAAATATTCTGTTGGAATGAGCTTTCTATTGGAATATTCGTTGGATTTTAACGATTTCATCGGTAGAGTTTAGAACGGTTGAAATACGAGTGGAAATAAAAATTCCAACGAGAATTGCATATTCCAACCAAAATTCATCTAAAATTCTAATGAAAAACTCATCCCAACGAAATATTTACGTTGGAATAATTCATACGGAAGCTATATCATTTGAATATCCGTTAGAATTTCTATTGCAATACATTATTGTAGGATTTTTCCTTGGAATATGCCAATTTTTTTTTTTCTTTTGTAGTGTTTTTGTCTTTTTCTTCCTTACTATTTGCTATGAAATTTTTGTTGTTTACACCTGCACAATTTTTGGATTCATGCCTGTTATAAGTTGGTGTGATTGCATGCAGTTTGCCAAAATCGCTCAATTTTAAATTTTGTCTATGGCTAATTCACATATCTTTGAACATATATAAATCTAAGCAGAATTTTCAATATTGCCTCGCAAATCTCATGAGTATTGTACTTGAAACCGGAAGAGATATATGTTTGCATCTTAGACTCAAAATTAGAGGCTTTGCTATATGTTAATTGTGAATTATTGGTGTAGTTTAAATGTTATTCCCTGGGATAGGCCGCAAACTTTACTCCGGCCAGTTGTTAAAGAATCTCAAGTGCATTTATCCAATTTTGCAATTTCTCACGACTTATGGATAAATTCCAAACGTGTTTCATTTCATGATATATGATTATTTGCCGATTAAATATATTGAGCTATTAGAAATAATATTTTTAATGCCGTGCAGCCGCTCCTAAAGAAGGCCGTGAACCTACTCAAGCTGAAACACAGCAGTTGTTTCTTCCTTACCGTAGTTTCTGTGCACGAAAAGGGGTAATTATAACATACTTTTATCTTCATCTATGCATGTTTAATGGTTATGCCGCCAAACAACAGTCAACAGCATTTGTGCATTACCATAAACATTGATAGCATGCATGCATATCTAGTATATATTGAATTTTTGTATGAATTTTTGGGTGTTAAGATTTGATATATATATATTTTTTTCTGTGTATAATTTTTTTATCTAACAAATGCATAAATTTGGTTTTTCGTAATTTTGGAGCGTTATGATTTTATTGTTGTTGTTGTTGTTAGATTCGTGCGAAGGAGGTGATTTTACAAGACCACGACGTGGCAAGAGGGCTTGCTGAGTATATCAGCATAAGCTCGATTACTACAATTGTCCTTGGCTCGTCAAGCCGTGGAGCAGTAGTGAGGTACATATATATATAGAGAGAGAGAGTTAAAGGATTGTTCAGAAGGGCTTTGAAAATGGAATTTTTGAAGCTATAAATTATGAGATTCATTTTCTTTTTTTTTTTTTGTTCCTTGTATTTTTATTTTAATGCTTTTGAGTTGCACGCACACTCTTATATGAAGTAACCTAGTTTTGACTGTCCCTCCTAGCTCCATTAAGTTTTTATTATTTTTATTTTCCTTTTTAGTTTTTGGTTTTGATATAAATTTCTTATTCACAGGGCATTTAAGAATGCAGATGTTCCCAGCTCAGTAGGAAAATATGCACCAGATTCTTGCACGGTGTTTGTTGTGTCGAAGGGCAAAGTTGTAAAACTCAAATCCGGTAGTCAACCAGAGACTCCGAGCAGCACAACAAGTTCCATGCCCCGGAATGCGTTTTCACCTGCTGATAATAATTCGAGCCAGTCGAGTTATAATCCGTAAGTCAGAGAATAACTTTTCGTCAAATCATAATCTTTCTTACTGTGTACCTGTTTTAAGGTATCCATGGTCTATCTATGCATAACAGCAAAAAAAGAAACAAAATGAAATAAAAAAGGTTGGTTAAAAATCAGATAGAAAACTCTTCATCAAATCATGATATTTCTTACAGAGTACCAGTTTTAAGGTGTCAATGGTCTCTGCAGAACAGCAAAAAGAAGGTTGTTTTTTTATTCTTGTGTCCCAATAGACTACACTACACTATATTTTCAGACAGTCTTAAACTAAAATTCAGCTAAAAAAAGATAGAAATCAAAAAAACTAAATCAGAAACTCAAAAATGAAAAAGCCTGAAAAAGTCGAAAAACACAACACACACACACACACACTCACTCACAAAGACTGACCTGGATTTCTTAGGGTGTGATTGGATATGGATTTAATTGGTTTTTGATTGGGTTTTTTTTCTTAATAATAGTTGATTTTAAAAAAATGTGGTATGGTTTGTTGTTGAGAATTTAAGTATAAATCAAAATATTATTTAAAATAAAATAATTAAAGTTGATTTGATATAAAAGTAGGAAAAAAATGTTTGAATTTGATGGTTAGTTAAAATTATGTGAATGGATGAATAGTAAATTAAAGTTGATGTGATGTGTAAGAATGATTGGTTGATATTATTTAATTATATTGATAATATTGAGGATAGTGGAGTTGAGTTAAAGTTGAATTAAATTTGAATTTTTATTTTTTTGTTAAGTTTATAACCAATCACACCCTTGATCTCTAATAATATCCTAAGCACAGACCAGACAGCTGGAAAAGCCCGGCCTCCGAGGTATCATCCTTCGACAGCGAAAACCAGCCAAGACGAACACCAGACGAAGTAAAAAACACAATTCCTCTATATACTTCCTATGGCAGCAAATCACCTGCACCTTATGACTCGGAAAACTCGAGCTATGGGGAATATACTTCTTGCTTAAGCAACTACAGCTCGTTTATCAACTCGGGCCCCAGTGAAACTGAGTTCAGCCGAATGACCAACAGGCAGGCGGACAATAAGATATCAAATGTGTTGCAGCCTATGAGCAAGATGAGCCTGGAGGTCCGAACGAGAGGGACCCGAGGTTACTCCATGTCCGAGTCGAGCGATGTTTCGGACATAATGAGTTTCCCTTCAGATGTCTCGTTCGAGGTTATGGACCCACAACCAGTTTCGGATTCATCCGGGAGCTCAACCTCTTCGCAAACCGCTGTAAGTATTTGGAAAAGAAAAAGGGATGTGAGAATTTTAATCAAAACTTCTCCTTAAACACAGAAAAATAAATAAATAAATAAGCTGAATCGTCAATTGCACTTCTGGTCCTATAACATTTAGGCTATGTTTGGTAAACCTAGCTGATAAGCTAGCTTATAGCTTTTAAGCGAATTTCGAGCTTTTATAGGTGATAGCTTATGACTTATGGCTGATAAGCTAATTGAAATAAAAATTTCAATGAGCTTATTTGAAAAGCTACCCAATGAAACTTATAAGATAAGCTCGAGCTTTTTAAAAATAATCGTCCTACCAAACCAAGCTTATTTGAATACAGGAATCTTATAAGCTAATCAAATAAGCTATAAACTAGCTTATATGCTTACCAAACACAGCCTTAGTCTTCTCGCACTATTGGCACTTCTGTAAATGTAGCAACTGATTCTTACGGGGGGAGGCCTTTGTGCTAAATCTTTTTTAACATTGTAAACAAATTTACAAATTATATGGACCAGAAGTGCAATTTATCTTAGCTCATCTAACAAACCTTTATCCACCTTCAGTCTTTTAACTAAACAAAAAATATATATACACCAGGAAATAGAGGACGAGCTGAGGAGACTGAAGCAGGAGCTGCAACAAATCACAATGAAGTACAACTTAGCGAATTTAGAAGCAGCGACTGCTAGAGACAAGGTACACACAGAATTCCTTCAAAAAGGCAGCATATATGAAATTGATTTAATGAAAACTAAGTACTTGCAAGAGAACTAAGAACTATGCTAATTACATTATCTAATGCTATATTCAGTCATATAGAATGCTAATTACACATAATACATATCTCGGCAAAATTGCATTTTTCGTCCTACTGGTTTAACGCAATTGCAATTTTAGTCTCAAGGTTCCAACATTTCGTCCTGTGATTTAATATGTTGTTGCAATTTCAGTCCTTTGAGAATTGAAATTGCAACAAATTCCCAAATTCACAGATTTTCGATTAGCAATTTAAGTCATGTAATTTAAAACTAGTGAGAATCCCGTGCGTTGCACGGGGGTTTCGTATCTAAGAAATTTTTTAAAACTTTATTTTAACAATATATTAGCTCGTTGACCCATTTATATTAATATAAATAATATTGTAACACATATATTTATTGTTTAATGCAAAAAAAATAATAATTTTACATATTTTTGTTCATCATAAAGGATATTTTACAAAGTCGGTTGCAACTATAAAATGATTTGGATATCAACATACAATTTATAATGGAGTTTTTTAAATCGTGTACAATTAAAAATAATATATATCATTAAATATTTTCTTTTTCAAATGCACAACTATTGAGACTGAGATTTTGAAACTTATTTACCTTTGGAAATCGAGTTTTAAAAAAAACAATAGATTGGTAAACAAAGAATTGATAAACATTACAAGTTTATTATCACGTATTCCAAATAAATAAATTGTCAAAATTTGTGGAAGATGATATTTAAAGAATATTCTTAGCGGTCAGTATATTATTTTGAAAGGCACAAATATAAAGATCGAGATTCTAAAACTTTTGTTACCTTTCGAATTGAGATTTCATAAATATAGAGACCGAGATTTTAATGTTGTTCGTTGATTTCTAAGAAAAAAATAAAAATAAAAGCATGCACACTTAATAGATCTTAGCCAGAATTTTTAAATAATAAAATGAACTTAAACCCGAAATTTAAGACAACATCTAATGTTGTATGATTTTTTAAAGAAAAAAATAAAAAAATAATAAAACTTACTATTTATGGACTGCATTAAATTCTGACTTATTTTTTTGCTACTATTTTTGGTAAATGGTTATTCTTATTATATATATATTGTTGCAATTTCAGTCAGGACTTAAATTGCAGCAAAACATTAAATCACTTGACCAAAAGGCGAAAAGTAGGAACCTTGAGACACAAATTGTCATGGCGTTAAATTAAACGACTAAAAATGCATTTTTGCCTACATATCTCTAAAATGGTAAACTGAAGCAAACTCTCAAACGATGTCCAATAGGTGAGAGGCCTCGTCGAACTAGACGAGGAAAGCAAACTGGACGAGGCAAGGCAAGCCCATGAGGCTGCATTAGCCATTGTCGAGCGAGAGAAGCTGATGTGTAAGGCAGCAGTTGAAGTTGCTCACAAAGCGCAGCGCATAGCTGAGCTAGAGTCCGAGAAAAGAAAGCATGTGGAATTAAAGTACAAACAAGAATCGGAAGAGAAAAAGAAGGCAATTGAAGCATTAGCACGGAGTGAGATAAGGTACAGAAGGTACACGATGGATGAGATTGAGGTCGCAACAGATTACTTCCTGGCTGCGAATAAGATTGGTGAAGGTGGGTATGGGCCCGTTTTTAAGGCCATTTTGGATCACACCCCAGTTGCTATCAAGGTTCTGAGGCCCGACATCTCGCAGGGCGAGCAGCAGTTCCAGAAAGAGGTGAGTTTTATTTTATTTTATTTTATTTTATTTTGTTTTTTGGTGTTCTGTATCTTGACTTTATATGCTTATTATTTTGTGCAAACTAGATTGTCATCTTGGGTTTAGTTTCAAACCAAAACCCCTGAGGGTTTCAGCTAACTGCTGCAACAAACCAAAAATTGAAAGAAAAAAATATACTTTTTGAT